GATTATTGGTGTTATAAGTCTATAATACTGTCTATAATGTATATGTTGGTATGGTACTACAAAGACGTGTAAAAATACAAATAATATTTGGGGGCATTAGTATATATAAAACTGTCAGACTTGATTTCAATTTTGTAAAGATTATATGACAATAATACTTGAATCTATCGACACTGAATGAATGTAATGTTCAGGTCATCTTCAACAAACAGACTAAACATTAATTTAAGTGATGCTGTGAAATCAGTTCCCTCATGTTTTATTTATATTCCAGTAGGGGGCGCCATTCATCCAAAAAACAAACCTATTGCCTATTGCTCTCCTAAAGCCAGAGCAGCAGAGTCTCACATCACTGAGCTGTTATGCAAACTCTTCATCAAACTCCTCTATATGTAGAGTGAATGAAGGACAGTTTGTAGAGGATCTCCAGGTTTCTGGTGTCTCTGATCAGCTCCAGCTCCGCAAACACCATGTTCCTCACGTCTTTACTGCTGCTGCTGATTGCAGGATGTGAGTCTGTTATCTCTCTCAATGAGGAACCATATTAATGCAGTAAACTGACTGACCACATTTAACCTGCTGTGTCTTTGTGTCTCTGTTTAGGTGTCCACTCTCAGATTGTTCTCACACAGTCTGAGGGGTCTGTAACAGTGGCTCCAGGTGGAACTGACCTGTGCCTGCAGTGGATTTAATTTAGGGAGCTATTGGATGCAGTGGGTCCGACAGGCTCCTGGGAAAGGACTGGAGTGGATCATTGCTTATCATTCAGAAAGTCACAAAAACTCAGCTCAGTCAGTTCAGGGCAGATTCACAGCATCCAAGGACAGCTCTAATCTCTACCTGCACATGAGTCAACTGAAGCCTGAAGACACTGCAGTGTATTACTGTGCCAGAGACTCACTGTGGTGGAACTCATACAGACAGCTGTACAAAAACTAGAGCACAGGATAAACAGAGGGAGGCTGAACTCTGTAACAGCTTAATAAAGTCATTTATTCATTCTACTTTTAGTTTTTGAATGCTTGCTGAACATATAAAAAGCTTTGTAAATAAAACTTTTAAAAGTGCTTTTGCACAGTACTGTGTAAAGTCCCTGATGTTTTTGATGTAGTTTTAAAAAACATTTGAAAATGTTGGTAGCACTTTGCTTGAAGGCCATGTTATTTTTTTTTATAAATAAATCACTAATAACGTATTTATTGATAAAAGTTATTATCATACTACACTGACCTATGAACTGTTTTGTTATATGAGCTGGAGACATTTCCAAACTCATTAAAAAACACAGACACTTTATTGATATTTAAAAACTTTCTCAATTTCTCAAAATCCTGAAAAGAGGATAATAGCAAACACAAGTGCTTTTTCGCAAGAGATCAATGGTTTTATACATATGTTTGTCCTACAGTGTCCAAATATGACCAGAATACCTAATCCTAACCTTAACCTCAACCCAAAACCTAATCCTAACCCTAACCTTAAACTCAACCCAAAACCTAATCCTAACCTTGGCCCTAATCCTAATCGTAACCTTAACCTCAATTCAAAACCTAATCCTAATGCTAACCTTAAAATCAATCCTAATCCTAATCCTAAATATTGGCCTGACAAAACCCTAATCCAGTGGAGCTCCAGGTTCAGGACGGTGTCAGTGTGTCTGTATCAGCTTGTTGAGGATGTTGATGGTCTGTATTAAACCTGTTAGTGTTCAGTGCTTCTCAGGTTAAACATCTGCAGACATGAAACTCCAAATAAAGTGAAAAACAAATAAAGTGAAAAAATCAGAAACGAATGTTATTTGTACAGATTATTAAAAGTCTCTTCATAATTTCTGAAAGGATTCACTGCTGCATCACTGATATGCTGCCGATGCTACTTAATTTGTGTAAAACCACAACACCAATATAGACTCTCAAACTACAAAATGGCTTTTTAAGAGGTCTTTAAAGATTTTTCTACTTTGTAAAATATAATCATTTCTAGCAGCTTATTTCTTCTTTCTACTGTAAAATAGAAAAGGAAAATGTTTGTTGTCGGAAAGCTCTGCCGTGGTCTTATCTGACGATAGTCAAACTGAACTTTATTCCAGAGAAAGTATCAGTGTAACAGTACAGAATGGGCCAGAGGCTCACGGTAAAAACCAAAAGATGAGGCTTTAATATCCAAGGGTTTGACAAGAATCGTGGTCAGTAAACAGGCGTGGGTCAGATCCAAAACAGCAAAAAGGTACAAAAAGGCAACCATAACCAGAGGGCAAAGACAAAAGGGAAAAACCAGAAATGCAGAAAAACAGTCCAAACACGAAAAAGGCAAGAGAACACAAGAGAAACGCTCAGTAGCTCTACAGGAGAAGCAAAACCTCACAATGTGGCTAAGCTAAAGCCCAGACTTTTAAACTAAACTAAACAAGTCATATGACATGGAGCCCAGGTGAAAAGAGTCAATACTCAGGAGAAGTAGAGCGGTGATTGGTTGAATGAGGAAGTTCTGTCACATGATCTCCCAAGGGGTCCTGGGAGATGGAGTCCTTGTTAGAGTTGAGGCCAGAAGGATGTGTGACAATCAGCAGCATCTAATGAACTCCAGGTATTTAAATTTTAACTTAGACAAAGTAATATTTCTTCTGTCACGCCTTCCATATAGTTTTTTGGCATTGAGGTGGTGTTTAATTGTAGATTTAGAGAATCTATAACTATAAACTATAAACTGTGCTTGAGAGCAAAATACACTCGCATCATCTTCTAGGCAGGTTGTTCTAAACTGCTCTAATAATAGATGTGGGAATTTTCACAGGTGTAGTTATTTTTATTCTCATTATTTTTTTTATAATTTAGATGATCAACACACATTTAATTCAATTTGGCCTTTGTGTTACCTTATATTTATATCCCAGTAAAACATGAAATCACTGACAATGGTTTAACACCTCCTGAACACTCATATATATGAAATATACAAAAAAAAATAAATATAAAAGAAATATAAAAAGAACATGTATCTGTTACAGGAATGTGCTAAATTTGTATTTATATTCCAGAAGGGTGGATTTAATCACTGAGGCACTTTGTGCTGAATTTGTTATCATCATTGACATAATACACATATTTCATCAAATCCCTTCAATACTTATAGAACAGATGACAATAGAGAAAGAGGTACAGTTCAGTGGGGTGAAGAATCAGAAGGGTTGGAGTTTGAAGCTGGTAAAATATTCAGTGCAGTGTGGTTTACAGATCTGAAATAAATATAGAAAAATGCTTCATTATCCATTCCATTTCATATATGCTCCAACTTTTTTAAGATGTTCTGAGACCATTTCTCTGACACTGTGTTAAAAAACATGTACATTGTGATTTTTCATGTTAAATGAAAATGTTGTTGCTTTTATTTGTTGTGAAATCAGGTAGAGAAGTGATTCCGAATATTAACTGTATTAAACCACTGCCATTAATTCCACGTCTTCAATAGGTTTGGCCTTCATGGGTCAACAGATATGCAAATACACTCTCCCTCCCTGAATCTCTCTGTATTTAGAAGTCACTCTCTATTAAGCTGTGGAGAACAGAGAAGATCCCACAGGTCCAACTTCAACACCAACCATGTTCTCTACATCTCTACTGCTCCTGCTGGCAGCTGCATCCTGTGAGTTACTCAGTAAACAACACATTTCACTCAGTCAGAGCACAATTTTATGTTTATGTATAAGTTGACACAATTAATAACTTTGCATTTTTGATCTACAGGTGTTCACTGTGAGGAACTGACTCAGCCTGGTTCCATGGTTGTCCGTCCAGGTCAGAGTCTGACCATCAACTGCAAGGTTTCATATTCAGTTACAGATTATGATTCAGCTTGGATCCGACAGCCTGCAGGAAAAACTCTGGAGTACATTGGATATATCGATTATAGTGATGGGAGCACAGCTTACAGTGATAAACTGAAAAACAAGTTCAGCATCTCCAGAGACACTGGAACCAACACAATAACATTACAAGGACAGAATCTGCAGACTGAAGACACAGCTGTGTATTACTGTGCAAGAGACTCACAGTGACACTAACTAATGAACACGGCTTACAAAAACCCAGAGCTGATAGTCAAGAACTTCTGTTTGAATGAGTTTCATAGCTTGTGTCATTTTTAATTATATTTTTGCAGATAAAATGCATTGAAGATTAAGACTTTATAGTTCACAGTTTCTAATATATTACAGCATGACTGACATCATCAACAGCCAACATCAAAATAAAGTCCATATATTAATAATTAGGTCTTTATGAATTTGGGAACAATAAGTGAAAACCTCCTTTAATGTCCTTTTACTATAAATCTAAATCATATCTGTGCTTGAGTGATTCACAGAATGATGATACATAAATCTATTTAAAGTTAAAGGAAAAAAAAAAAAAACTGGCATAGCTGATCATTTTGTTAAAAGTTTTTTTTTTTTTTTCCTTTTTTGATGAAATTATTATACTGTACTTAATACATATTTTGAATGGAAGTTAAATAAATAACGTGCTCTCTGACTTTTGTAGGTCATTCATAATGTAAGTTAATTCAGTCCATTAAGTAAAAAAGTTTATTACATGAATACAGAAACAAATTAATTAAACCAAACATTAAAACAGCCAGACTTTCCAAGGGTTTATTAAATGTCCATTATTAATTTCTGCACCAGTAAGAATTAATGCTATTTTTTGAGCTTGTATTAATAAGTTGTGTGAATACTGTGCATTTTCTTGTTTTAACAAATAATATTTATTTATTTTTCTATGTGTGTTTGTGCAGAAATATCAGTAATGTGTCATGAATGATAAACATGAGGCAGTTCCAGAGTTTCTCTTGTTCTCCAGTAGGGGGCGCCGACTGCCTAATGCTGAATTGGTTTACCCCATTGACTTGACATGCAAATGTCTATCAAGTCTCTTCTCTACATATGAAGCTGAAACAGTGAGTTGGAGAAGAACCTGCAGGTCTGAGTGAAAAACAGCAGAACCATGTTCTTCACATCTTCACTGCTGCTGCTCACTGTGACATGTGAGTCTGTTAGCTCTTTCACTGAGGACCCAGATAAACGATCTAAACATTTAAAAACTTAACCTGCTGTTTTCTCTGTCTCCTCATGTTTAGGTGTCCACTCTCAGGTTGTTCTCACACAGTCTGAGGGGTCAGTAACAGTGACTCCAGGTGGATCCCATAAATTGACCTGTGCTTGCAGTGGATTCAGTGTGGGGGTTACGGAAATGTTCTGGATCCGACAGGCTCCTGGAAAAGGACTGGAATGGATTATTTACTATTATTCTGAAAGTACCAAAAGCTCAGCTCAGTCAGTTCAGGGCAGATTCACAGCATCCAAGGACAGCTCTAATCTCTACCTGCACATGAGTCAACTGAAGCCTGAAGACACTGCAGTGTATTACTGTGCCAGAGTCTCACAGTGGTGGAACTCAAACAGACAGCTGTACAAAAACCCTGCTTTGGAAAAAGAGGATAGAGGGAAAGAGAAAATTATGGTTGAGATGTGTAGCTGTGGAAGTAGAAGTATGGCAGCTTAGCCAACACAATAACATTACAAGGACAGAATCTGCAGACTGAAGACACAGCTGTGTATTACTGTGTGAGACTCTCACAGTGATACTAACTAATGAACACGGCTTACAAAAAACCAGAGCTCAGAAACCTCCTCTTTCTAATGGATACACATTATTACGTCATTTTTATGTCATTTCATTGGTGTGTTCTGTAATCTCCCCCATGTTGATAAATAACTAAGAGAATTTGGCTTCTGTGTCACCTCATATTTATACCACAGTGAAAAGGGAAATCATGGATGACGGCTTAGCAATTTTTTGATTCCTGCATATTAAAAGGAATATCAGTTATAAGGTTGAGCTAATGTGTAATCTTTATACCAGTAGGGGGCATCTGTTCACTAATACACTTATATTATTGAATTTGTTCACATTATTAGACTGTGATTCTGCAGAATTCTTATCAAATCTCTTCTCTACACATAGAGTAGTTAGGGCTGGTTTGGAGTTTATGATAGAAGACAACAGAGAAATCTAGACAACAATAGAGAAAGATGGAGGAGGAGAATGGTTGGAGGTGGATATGTGTGAGTGAGCTGTTTACATTTTTAAAGCAGTATGGTTAACAGACCTGAAGTACACAAACCAATATGCTCCCACTATTCTGAATATTCATTATCAATTTGGATTCATATATGGTTCCACACATTTAAGATTTTTTTGACAGTGTGTTAAAGACTAAGGCAGATAAGTAGTTCCTAACATGCACTGTATTAAACTGCTTCCCTCTACTCCATGTCTTAAATAGCTTTGAATCTCAGAGGTCAATAGATAAGCAAATGCTTATCTAATGACCTAAATAAATGTATTTATTTTTTAATGAAAAAAAAAAAAATAAATAAATAAATAAATAAAAGACTTTACCTTTGTTACAGTTTCATAAATGTAAGAACATCTTTGTATCTACACAAAATTATAGAAATACAAGTTTGGACAACGTGACCTACTGTTAGCTTTAAAATAAAGTTAATGCAAAACAAATATATAGAAGAAAAAATTAGACTAGTTTCACACAAAGTTGGGCAAGTGGGAAAACTGCCCCATTTAAGAGCAACATTAATTATATCTGTGCTTAAGTTTATCATGTACAGAACGGTGATACATGAAATTATACACACTCAGAGGAAACAAACTAGAACAGCAGACTATTTTGTTTCAGTGTACAAAAAAAGAAAATCTTTAAAGGGAGATTCTTTCCTCACTATCAGGGCAAGATGCCCCTAAGAAGCTGCTCGGGTGAAACTTGATTCCATTTATCATTTGGCAACTTTCACTGAAGGTATAATTTATACAACATAGTGCAAAAATATGAGCATTGATCCAGTAAAAGTAATGAGTTTTTAAAAAGGTAGTTCATAACTATGTGAGCCAATTTGGAGAACAGAGTTTGGGTTAAGATTTCTCCTGGACGCCTCCAGAGATCACATGCATTTCTTAAATTCCATCACCAGCAGACCTGATTCAACATAATGCAACACTGATTTTCTAAACCGAGTATTGGATCAAAATTGGAACTAATACTGGGCTTTAGAAATGATTGAATAAACACAGAGACTTACTTTAAATCGGTTCTTTTCCTATTAATATTATATTTATTTGCTCTAAAATTGGTGGTTTTCTAAGTTAGAAAATTACTTACTTGCCAGATGAATAGATTTTTCAATCTTACTTTCTCAGGTGCCTAAAACGTTTGCTCAGTACTGTACGTCAAATGTATATATACAAAAGCACAAAAAATATTACATTGCAAAAAAAATTGAGGCCTTAATCAACTTATTCATTTTATTCATATTAATTAATTTATTCGTATGTTTAATTTACATTTTAGTCATGTCAAAAACAAATAACAGTGAATGAGAAAACAATTAAATGTATTTTTTAAATGTATTTAAAAATATATTTTTAAATGTATTATTTATTAAAAAGTTTTTGTGACTATATTAAATCATTAGTGTAAGATATATAACTGCACTAAAATGTATTCATTTAATGGTATTGTTCTTCTTCTGCTTCTTCAGCTTTGTATTATTATTATTACTATTATTGAAATATTATTATTATTATTATTATTATTATTATTATTATTATTATAAAATAATAATAATAATAATAATATATGAGTAGTTATAGTAGAGGTATGGGATCAATAACAGCAATAAAATTGCTGGATAAGCAGCTCACAGTCAGCAACATTGTAGCCCTCTTACTATATATATATATATATATATATATATAATATATATAATATAGTAATATTTCTGGTGCAATATTGTAAAGGAGGCTTCGTTCCCAGTGGGCTGGGGGATGTTTTGCCCCAAAAGTACAGCTTTACATTTTTATCTTTAATTATTTCTCAATACTAAATACTTTCTTTGCTCTCAGTATTACTATCAGTATTTATTCTGTGCACCTACAGCCACTTTAACTCTTCCATCACTCCAATCTTAAACTCAACCAGTTCCAGCTGCTCCCAAAGACCAAGAAAACAACAAAAGCTGCTCCCAAAGACCAAGAAAACAACAAAAGCTGCTCCCAAAGACCTCAATGACATTTAAAGCCTGACAGATTATATTACAGTAAGATATGAATGTATTGACTCTGACTGAGTATAATGTTCAGGTCATCTTCAACAAACAGACTAAACATCAATTTAAGTGATGCTGTGAAATCAGTTCCCCCATGTTTTATTTATATTCCAGTAGGGGGCGCCATTCATTCAAAAAGCAGACCTGCCTGTTGTTCTCCTAAAGCCAGAGCAGCAGAGTCTCACATCACTGAGCTGTTATGCAAACTCTTCATCAAACTCCTCTATATGTAGAGAGAATGAAGGACAGTTTGTAGAGGATCTCCAGGTTTCTGGTGTCTCTGATCAGCTCCAGCTCCACAAACACCATGTTCCTCACGTCTTTACTGCTGCTGCTGATTGCAGGATGTGAGTCTGTTATCTCTCTCAATGAGGAACCAGACTAATGCAGTAAACTGACCAACCACATTTAACCTGCTGTGTCTTTGTGTCTCTGTTTAGGTGTCCACTCTCAGATTCTCACACAGTCTGAGCGGTCAGTAACAGTGGCTCCAGGTGGATCGCACAAACTGACCTGTGCCTGCAGTGGATTTAATTTGGGGGGCACTTGGATGGGCTGGATCCGACAGGCTCCTGGGAAAGGACTGGAATGGATCATTGCTTATCATTCTGAGAGTAACAAATACTCAGCTCAGTCAGTTCAGGGCAGATTCACAGCATCCAAGGACAGCTCTAATCTCTACCTGCACATGAGTCAACTGAAGCCTGAAGACACTGCAGTGTATTACTGTGCCAGAGACTCACTGTGGTGGAACTCAGAGGGAGGCTGAACTCTGTAACTGCTTAAAAAAGTTATTTATTTATTCTAATTTTAGGTTTTAGGGCAAATAAATACTTGCTGGACATACAAAAAGCTTTTTAAATAAAAAGTTTTAAAGTGCTTTTGTACGAAATTGTGTAAAGTCCCTGATGTTTTAGAAAAAAAAATATTGAACATTTTGGTGACACTTTGTATGAAGTCTGTGTTATTAATTGTTATAAATGAATCACTAATTTATTTATTGATGATAATTTATTATTATACTACACTGTCCTATAAACTTTATGTTTGTAATATAAGCTTGAAACATTTCAAAACTCATTAAAAAGCACAGAAACTTCATTGCAATTTAAAAACTTTCTTAATTTCTCAGAATCCTAAAAAAGGATTAAACACAATGGTTTTGTCCAATAAGAACAACTGTTATGGACAGATGTTTCTCATACAGTGTCTGAATATGACCAGAATAAATAGGAGGCACCTAATTAACCTTACAGAGCAGGAAACTGTCACAGCTGATCCTGCATTAATAACAGATATACAGTATATTATAGAGCTCACACTGACAGACACACACAGTACAACATTTAACATTCAAATATGATTTACATAAAATATCAACCAATTTTTTTAAATCACTAAGCAACTGCATTTTAAATGTTTTTATGTTTTCATAATCATTAATAAGCCTTGTCGGTTCTTTTTAATTATTAGTAAGTAATAATTAGAACAATACATTATTATGCACTGGTTTCTGTTTAGTAGGCTTTCAATCCTAACCTTAACCTTAACCTCAACCCAAAACCTCCTAACCCTAAACTTAACCTCAACAGAAAACCTAATCCTAACACTAAGCTTAATTTCAACCCAAAATTTAATAATTTCCCTGGTTCTAATCCTAATCTTAACCTTAACCTCAACTCAAAACCTAATCCTAACCCTCACACTGACCCTACATCATTGATGTGTAGTTGTGACTAAGAGTCTGTTAAGTGTTTATTAAATCTAAAATGGACCACTTAAAAAATCAAAAACAAACAAACAAGAAAAACATAACATTCATTTCAAATTATTATTGTTACCTTGTATAAAACCACAATAACAATATAAACACTTAAACTACAAAATGGGGTCTTATGTGGTCTCTAAAGATTTTTCTACTTTGTAAAATATAATAATTTCATTCTACCCTAAAATAGAAATGGAAACTAACTGTTGTCAGAAAGCTCTGGTGTTTCATCTCATCTGACAATAGTCAAACTGAACTTTGTTCCAGTCAAAGTATCAGCAGCTTCTAATAAACTCCAGGTATTTCAATTTTAGCTTGGGTGAAATAATGTTTTCTTCTGTCACACATTCCATGTAGATGTTTTGGCAAAATACACTTGCTTCTCCTTCTGGCAGGTTCACTACAGCTCTGGTTGTTTTAAACTGCTCTAATAATAGATGTGGGAATTTTCACAGGTGTAGTTATTTTTATTCTCATTATGTTTTTATAATTTAAGATGGTCAACAAACATTCATCTCATTGTATTTGTATATTCTGTAATTGTCCCCATGTTGATGAATGAAGGGAATTTGGCCTTTGTGTTACCTTAAATGTATACCCCAGTGAAACAG